GGTCAAACATTTAATTGACTCACCCCTAATGCCTTGGCAGGGCCTGACCAAATGAGTTCGCAGGCCTTATATAGCCTGCAGGCTAGACATTCCCCACCCTTGCTTTAGAGAGTTGGTGACAGAGTGGCAGGCCATACTTACAATTGAGACTTGGTCCAAGGATGCTCAGTAAGCCACTGTTCCCAGAACTATTCATTACATTGTATTTCTTTACCCACTTTACACACACACACACATACATACACACACACACACACACACACACACACACACCCGACTTTAAACTTAGTGATTTGTATGGTCTTAGTGGGCAATTTCTTTTTAAATTCTCACCAAAGGATATGTTTCCATTGTTCTTTAGAGAGAGTGTGGAAGGAAGGGAGAAGGAAGAGAGAGAGAGCACATTGATGGAGACACATTGAATGGTGTGGGGAATCAAACCTGCGACCCTTCAGTCCATGGCCTGAAGCTGTAACCACTGAGCAAAACCAGCCAGGGCTTTAGTACAAAATTTAATTCTGGAAGTGATTAGGCAGAACATGAATGGCTAAGATCTGATGATTGATAGGTCTAGGAGGAAGTGAAGGAAGGAAGCCAAAGTCATCAAAGAATCTTAGTAGGCCCTTATTGGCTACATGAAAAGTGGTCCCACTCAGAGAATGTGGGTAATTGGAAGATGAAGAGGCAATTACTTAAAATTCTCTCTCTTTTTCTTTTGGCACATAAAATCATATCCATGATTTCAGCTTACAAATTCCATTAATATTCCTTATTCTTGGAAAAGAGTACGCAGCATTACTTCTTAATTTTTGTGTTCAAGCAACATTAACTCTGGGCCACAGTAAGCTCTTTTTCCTTCATGTCATATTATGGACATATAAGTCTTAGGTTTTCTGTGATGTATGTCCTAAGGTTCTGGAACAGAATGATTACACATCATTTCTTTCTCTTCCCTGCTGTATTTTTTCTTTTATGTGTTTAGAAAATCCGGGCATATCTCAAACATGTATAGAAGTGCATTAAAAAAATACAAACACCCATGAACTACTCACTGGCCAGATTCAATAAATAAAAACATTTAGCCATGTATACTTATATGCTCTTTACTTTTTTTGAGGAATAAAGCATTAAAGAGTTGATGCCTCCTTTTTATCTTTTTCTAATCCCATTCCTCCCTCTCCTTTCCTTGAGGCCACCTCTATTCTGAGGTTGGTATGAATCCTCCTTGTTACCATAGAAAAATAATTTCTTAATGAATTGTTACCTATTTTTAAACTTTTGAATTCAAAGGGCAAAGTAACTAATTTTATGGTTTCTTTACCATGAATCATTTTCAATGACTCAAATATATATATTTTTTCACTCCTGGGCAAAAGTAGTCACATTTGAGCTATTGCTAAGACTGTGCTTAACTACATAAAATATTTTGTGTTCTCTGATCAGATGTGACATTCATTAAATAGCCTATATAATAAAAGGATAATATGCAAATTGACCCTAATGGCGGAATGACCAGGAACGACCCGTCGCTATGGTGCACACTGGCCACCAGGGGGCTGATGCTCAATGCAGAAGCTGACCCCTAGTGGTCAGTGCACTTCCACGGGGAGCTCCGCTCAGCCACAAGCTGGGCTGATGGCTGCGAGCTCAGCGGTGGTGGCAGGAGCCTCTCCCACCTCCTTGGCAGCGCTAAGGATATTCAACTGTGCCTTAGGCCTGCTCCCTGCTGCCAGAGGGATGTCTCACTGCCAGCTTAGGCCCGACTCCCTGGGTAGTGGGCCTAAGCTGGCAGGTGGACATCCCCCAAGGGCACCTAGCTGCCAGAGAGATGTCTGACTGCCAGCTTATTAGGCCCAATCCCCCATGAAGCGGGCCTAAGCCAGCAGGTGGACATCCCCTGAGGGGTCCCGGACTGCGAGAGGGCATAGGCTGGCCTGAGGAAACCCCCTGAGTGCACAAATTTTTGTGCACTGGGCCTCTAGTCCTATATAATAAAGAGGTAATATGCAAATTGACCATCATGCCCTCACAAGATGGCTGCCTATGACCAGGCCGGCAAGGGGGTAAGTGAGGGACGACCAAATAACTGAACAGCAGGCTGTGTGGGGTGACCAGGCAGGCAGAGGGGTTAGTGAGGGACGACCAAACGACTGAACAGCAGACTGCGTGGGGCGACCAGGCTGGCAGGAGGGGCAGTTGGGGGCAACCAGGCCAGCAGTGGGGGCATTTGGGGGCGACCAGGTTGGCAGGGGGGGCAGTTAGGGGCAACCAGGCCGGCAGGGAGGGGTGCAGTTGGGGGCAACCAGGCCAGCAGTGGGGGCAGTTGGGGGTGATTAGGCTGGCAGGGGGAGCAGTCCCTGGATGGCTAGGCCAGCGGGGGGGCAGTTAGGAGTGACCAGGCCGGCAGG